CATTGACTGTCAAGACACTCAAATCTGCTTCAAAATCTTTACCTCATCAGCAGAATATAATAATCTTTTTGTGGGACATTGTGTTTTTTTAACAAGAAACTGTCTATGGGGCTGGTAGGTGGCGTGATGGTTAAGGGCACTGGATTCCCACCTGGGCAACCATGGTTTGAGTCCTGGATCTGGAGGTTTGCTTTCTCACTTTCCCTCTCTCTCTCTCTTTTTCTCTCTGTCCCTCTCTGGTCAAATTAAAATAACTAACTAACTAAATAAATAAAAGAAATAATTCTAAAAAAAAAAAAAAAAAGAGGCTGTTTAGGGGGCTCCTGGGACTGAACGTCTAAATGTCTAAGGAATGCCAGGATTCTACCAGTGGGAGTTCAGGGTCATGAACTATTTGGGAGATTCTGAAGGAAGAATTGGCCTATTGGATGTGTGTGTGTGTGTTTGTGTGTGTGTGTGTATATTCTATTTACTAAATATTATAAATTAGCCTATTCCATATATCATACGTATTTATTTACATGTTTTATTATGCTTTTAGGCCCACTTGTTAGTTTGCGTTTTTTTAGTACTTATTCTTCCTTCATGATGTCTGACTTTTACCTTTTTATCTTTTTTAACATAGTCTTATTTAATTTTAATTTTAAATTTATCAATTATTCTTTAGGAAAAATACGGAATACAAATGAAAAATAACTGATCTCATTTTGTGCATTTCCTGCACACTAAGCGCTATGGGGTCGCTGCTGGTGCTAGAACCCCCGGCACTAACATCAATGCCTCCTCCTTGGCTGGGCGGGGAGCCGAGCTCTCTGAGGCCCCTGGCAGGAGGCAGCACACAGCAAACTTACTATTTTTATTAACGCTTTCAACAGGCTCTAAGATGACCTCTGTGATTACCCTTCCTGGGGGCATAAGACAAAGCAGGCGTGGAGGAGTGGAGGGCTGCCCAGTCACAGATGCAGAGACAAAACTAGGATGGGGGTCCCCGGCCTCAGAGTGTCCCAAACTTCTATTCTCTAAGGGTTCCTCATGGACCAGCCTCCCGTCATCCTCAGAGACTGTGATTATGCCAGTCCTGGAGTCCCCCCAGGTTGGTTCTAGTACCTAGTACCGGCACTTTGTGCTCAGTCCCCGGCAGGAGGACTCCGGTTGCTGCAGAGAAACGTGGGGGCTGGCCATGGGAGGGTAGTTTGACTCTCAGGGCTGGGGCTGGTAAGGTTCATGCGACCACAGGTGGAGGGCAGGACGGGACGCACAGCGGACGCTGCAAAGCTGGTTTAACAGCCTGGGGGGGAGGCTTCAGGAACGCGCAGATCATTCCCTTGTGGAAAAAAAGGTGGTTTAATGCTTATTCGCTTCCACCCCTGAGAGGCAACGGCGTTTCAGCTGCATCGAGGCAGGCTCTGAGCGTTAAGCGCTTCATTCCCCCGCCCCGCCCGGATGCAGGCCGAGGGTTACACTCCTCGTTTCTTCCGAAGTGCCGCCTAGTAGACGCGGCCTCCGGGGCTGGTGCGTTTTCTGCTCGCAGTCGCGGTCGTGGGTCTGGATGCCTCTGGCGGGCGGTAGAGGGTGGTCCCCGCCGGCCTGCGGGCTCCTGGCAGCAAATCCTAGCGCGGGGCGAGCGCGGGGCGAGTTCTCCAGCTCCGCGGTAACTCTCGGGAGCCGCGGGAGCCGCTGGAGCCGCTGAGGTTCCATCCTGCCTCCGCTCGGATTCACCGCGATTCCCTCTGCGAAGAGGCCGTTTTGCAGTTGGCGGCAGGTTATTCCGCGGCCGGGCGCGGTTTAGAAAGATCCGAACGTACACTCTTTAAAAAAAAGTTTTAAAAAAATGAATACAGTGTTGCCTCTTGATCACATCTTGATGAAGGCACACCGAAGCTGTAAGTGGGCATTTCAAAGTCCAGTTTGGCCTTCATTGGCAAGGAGCACCATCTGGCGGGGGCGTTCTCCGGTGGCGGAGCGCTGATGACAGAGTTGTCAAAACTCAGCAACTACCCGGTCGGTGCCCTGTACAGGGCACGCAGACTGGACTGGACCCTCGCCGTTAGCGTGTAACGAACGTTACAAGTGCCACTGTCAACAGACGTAGGTCAGAGTCAATTAGCCGCGGCTGGAGATTAGATTTATAGCTGTTGGGGTAACTCCGCAGGTTACTTATTCAAGCTAAACGCAATCCCGCCAGGGAGCCGGGGCTGTGACATCACTTCGGGGCGGGGCCTCGAGTCCTTAGAAAAGTCGGTGGGACTGGAGCTGCAGCAGCCGCCAGGCACCGCAGCGCGATGAGCGGCAGCAACAGCTCGGAACTCCGGGTGCTCTGCAGCTCGGGCCAGCTGCTCCTGCAGCCCCTCTGGGACCGCCTGAGGACCCGGGATGCCCTCACCCAGTCGCCCTTCTTTCCCGTCATCTTCGCCATCACCACCTACATGGCCTTCTGCCTGCCCTTCGTGGTGCTGGATGCTCTGTGCCCCTGGGTGCCGGCGCTGCGGCGCTACAAGATTCACCCCGACTTCTCGCCATCGGTGCAGCAGCTGCTGCCCTGCCTGGGACGGACGCTCTACCAGCACGTCGTGTTCGTGCTCCCCGTGACGCTGCTGCACTGGGCGCACGCCCCGGCCTTCCTGCCCCCCGAAGCCCCGGAGCTGCTTCAGCTGCTGCGCCACGTCGTGCTATGTCTGCTGCTCTTCGACGCCGAGTTCTTCGCGTGGCACGTGCTGCACCACAAGGTGCCCTGGCTGTACCGCACCTTCCACAAGCTGCACCACCAGAACGCGTCCTCGTTCGCGCTGGCCACGCAGTACATGAGCATCTGGGAGCTCTTTTCCTTGGGCTTCTTCGACATGGTGAATGTGACGCTGCTCGGGTGTCACCCGCTCACCGTGCTGGTCTTCCACGTGCTCAACGTCTGGCTGTCGGTGGAGGACCACTCGGGCTACGACTTCCCGTGGTCCACTCACAGACTGGTGCCTTTCGGGTGGTACGGGGGCGTGGCGCATCACGACCTGCACCACTCTCAGTTTAACTGCAATTTCGCCCCTTACTTCACTCACTGGGACAAGCTGCTGGGGACCCTGCGGCCCTGCCCATCCCAGCTGGGCGATGAGACTCCGGGGAAAGCCCCCTAGACCCGGGGCTGCTGTTTGTTTCCTTCTTGAATCAGGAGAAACACAGACGAACTCTTTTTCTTTACGCCAGTAACTTATTAACTGTTGAGAACTGTTACAGATAAAATCGGATGATTTTCTGCTAGCTGACAAAGTAATTTATAGAATGCTGGTATTTCAATCCAATTGTGTTCCTGGTGTTGAATCCCAGCACACTTCAACAGCCTTGATCCCTGGATCTAAACTGCAGATCCATCACTGGCGTATCTAAATCATCTCTAGAAGGATTTGTGTGCAGAACATGGAATTTTCTATGTTTGAAAGTGTCCTAAAACCTTGACTGAAAGAATTTATTTGAATGCACTTCAGACTCTAAACAATGAAAAATTCCTGC